TTATTTATTTATTTATTTATTTATTTATCCAAACAGCTAGTTCAAGTTATCTGCAATAATGACTCGGCTCTTTCTTCCGTCTAACAGGCAGTATCGCAGGAAAGACGCCCCCGCCGGTTTGTCACCATGAAGTCGTGCCCTGTGTGCAGCAAGAGGTGTGGCTCGACGGGTGCACTCGCCGCCCACATGCGGGTGCACACCGGGGAAAAGCCTTTCGAGTGCGACGTGTGCCAGAAGAAGTTCTCTCAGCATGCCAACTTGCGGACACACATCAACACACACACTAGAGAGAAGCAGTTTGAATGCCCTGTATGCAGTCGAAGTTTCGCTTCTGCTTCTGGTCTATCATATCATCACCAATCTCACACAGGAAAGAAACCGTTTGAGTGCAGCGTGTGTCTGAAGACGTTCCGTATCGCTCATGAGCTGCAAGTACATTTCCGAACCCACACACGCGAGAAGCCTTACAAATGTCATGTATGCAACAAAGCGTTTTCTCAATCTAGTAGCCTGACGTTACATTTCCGAAGACATACTGGCGAGAAGCCTTTTGAATGCACTGTGTGTCACAAGAAGTTCGCTGACTCTGGGGATCTACATAAACATACCAGAATCCACACAGGTGAAAAACCATTTGGGTGCACGGTGTGCCCCCAAAAGTTCTCTTTATCAGGGAACCTTAAAAATCACCTCCTAGTCCATTCGGAAGTAAGGCAATTTGAGTGTACCGTGTGCCTTAAGAAGTTCAAGAGATCTTATCATCTCCGATATCATCTGTGGAGAGTTCACTCCGGCGAGAAATCATACGAGTGCAGTGTGTGCCACAAGAAACTTGTCACATCTTCTGATTTAAAGAAGCACCTTAAAACACACACAGGCGATAAACCTAAACCTGCTTTTGAGTGCAATGTGTGCCACAAGAAGTTGGGATCATCTGGGAGTCTACGGTCACACCTCCGAACCCACTCAGGCGAAAGACCATTCGAGTGTCAGGAGTGCCACAGGACCTTTTCTGCAGCCGGCAACCTGAGGGTACATCGCCGAACCCATACGGGTGAGAAGCCATTTGAGTGTCAGGAGTGCCACAGGACCTTTTCTCAAGCCTACAACCTGCAGACACACCTCCGAACCCACACAGGCGAGAAGCCGTTCGAGTGCCAAGAGTGCCACAAGACCTTTTCTCTGCCTCACGTCCTGCAGGTACATCTCCGAACCCACTCAGGCGAGAAACCATACGAGTGCACTGTGTGCCACAGGAAATTCGCCGAATCTTGCACTCTGCAAAGGCATTCCCGGACCCACACGGGAGAGAAACCTTATGAGTGCAACATGTGCCACAGGACTTTCTCTACTGTTAGCGGTCTGCGAGGACACGCCCGAACCCACACCGGCGAAAAGCCTTACGAGTGTAATATGTGCCTCAGGAAGTTCTGTGAAGCTAGGTCCCTGCGGCGACATCTCCAAACCCATACAGGCGAGAAATCTTTTGTTGAGTGCAACGTGTGCCAGAAGAAGTTGTCCAGTACTAACTCCCTGAAGTACCATCTCCTAACCCACACAGACGATAAAGCCTTTGAGTGCAATGTATGCGGCATGAAATGCAGGTGTGCTAGTCAACTGCGTGTTCATCTTCGGACGCACACTGGCGAGAAACCTTTCGAGTGTACCGTATGCCACAAGAAGTTCCCAGTAAGTGGCAATCTTCAAAGTCATCTCCGAACTCATACAGGAGAGAAACCATTCCAGTGCACTGTTTGCTTCAAGACTTTCTCCTTATCGGGCAATCTGAAAAGCCACTTACGAACTCACACTGGGGTGAAGCCATTTGAGTGCACTGTTTGCCTCAAGTCGTTCGCTGGATCGGAGAACCTGCGAACGCATCTCCGAATTCACACAGGAGAAAAGCCGTACGAGTGCATGACGTGTCCGAAAAGGTTCGCCGATTCAGGGAGTCTTCGTAAACATCTCCGCACCCATTCGGGAGAAAAACCTTTTGAGTGCAGTGAATGCGGTATGAAATTTTCGGAGGGTACTAAACTGCGTATCCATGTCCGGACGCACACAGGCGAGAAACCTTTCGAATGTACCGTGTGCCACAAGAAGTTCGCAGTACGTGGCAATCTTCAAACTCATGTCAAAATTCAGCATAACTTGGTGGATAAATCTTTCAAGTGCACCGTATGTCAGAGGAAATTTTCGTTTTCCAGAAGCTTGTTGACACATCTGCAAAACCACATAAGACATATGTAGGCAAAAACGCATGGCTTTTGGACCCCAAATCTGAAGATTGCTTATGTTACTGTAGGTTGTCAGGGCAGGTGTAAGTACACCAGACCAGATTGCTCAAGTGGCTTTCTCGTAATTTACAGTTTGTACTTACACTGTAAAAAATATTGTCGTAAATTTACAAAATTTTTGTAAACTTGAATTATAATTTAAGTTGTAAATTTACGTGAGCCCCTTTTTTACTCGCCAATGGATTTGAAGTCGATACGTACTGCATGTATTTTTACGATTCCAAATTGTAATTTTACAACTAGCGTCAAGGAAAATTTTCCTGTAAACCTACCTACTATTTTTCACAGCAGTGTATTTGGATCTATTTTCTACGCCCTTTAAAGTTCAAGTTTAGGAGGGTTTTATTATGACAATTATATTTCTCCCTCTACTGATTTTTGCGAGGGGGCCTCAATCTCGGCAATCTAGTGTTGTACACCCACCCCGGCAATCTACGACAATCTTCGGCAATCTCTAGGTAATCGGCTGCAAAGGCCATCCTTTTTGCCTACATTCAGGGTGATTTAGTGCGTTTTGCCTAGTTGCAGGCGGTTTATGCCCTTAAATCTAAATATTCGTCAAGCAATCTGGCAATCTGGTGTACATCCTACAAGTGAGTTGAGGCCCCCTCGGATTTTTGTACATTATTTTATTTGAAAAATGTCTATATTTGCGAGTCGCTAGGAAAGCTTGTTACGAAATAAAATTTCGCTTTTCTCTGAGCAGATGTGTTGTGAGTTAATCGGGTCTTAGCCTGGGACCTTGGGACCGGTGACCAGTTAAAAAATAAAATCATATTTACCCTTTCTCCTTTCATGTATCTACGTATCATTCACTACATCCTACTCATTATAAAGTGGAGCTGAATTCAATTGAGCCCGGGATTTACTGGCTAGGGTAAGGTGCCCTATTGTGGCCACTGTCCCATTGATGGCCACTTTTCTCGATTTCCAGCCAATCTGGCCACTTTACAATCTTGGCCTTGAAGTAGTGTTCTAGTAAGGTCCCTACTTGGGCATAATAAGCCAAACTACTTCACATCGTTGTCTACATTACAAGAAAAAGGGGTGGCCATCATTGGGCAGGCCCATTCTTAAGGTGGCTATCATAGGGCATCTTATCCTATTTGGGTCTGTACATTTACTGAACACTTGCTGGCAAGGGGGGGGGGGGAATTCACTCTATTTCCAGGGCTGCCACAAGTCAGGGAAATGTCAGGGAAAACAAAATGTGTCAGGGAAAAACGGTCGGCAGCGTTATTTTGGGTGTTCGGGCGGTGGTTCGCAAAAGTCCCTCCTTGCTTATTGCATTCTGACTGCTAATCTTGTTGTCAGGGAAGTTCACGAAATTGTCAGGAAAAAGTCATGGAAATGTCAGGGAATTTCCCTTCTCCATTCTCGTGGCAACCCTGATTCTTTTACAGTGAAGGGTGTTCTAAAATGCAGTGTCAAGTACACTTTAACTTATGTATATCATGTACACATTTGAATTGACAGAGCACTCACATGGAGCAGTGTCCCATGATCATCACTTAAATGGAGCGACGAAAACGAACATCGCTCTGATTTAGGCAACGATAATCCGTCACTCTTTTTCAGACTTCAGACGAGCCACATCACTCCGGCAGTTCCAGTGTATTTAAAACCTCCAAGAAAAGTACCGCTTTTTAAAGACATTTGTTTGATTGAAATAAAATGTCAATAATATTATGTTGATATAGGAAACCTCTCAAATCTCTCAATTGCCCTGCCCCGCTGCGCCGCCTCCTGGCGCTCCCCGTATGGGAGTGCAGCACGCAGACGGGTGACTGCTCCCCGTGGGAGCTCGGGGCGGGAAGCTTTAGCTTTAGCTGGGCACACGGTATCTATTTCCAGCAGGACTGGTTGGCCTGGGCCGGGCGGACACCACCAGGCCACCGCACCAGCACGCACCAGCACACCACGCGCCAGCAGATCACCGCGCGTCGCTCTTCCCTAGTCTTTGCGCGGTCACAATTTTCACCCCTTATTTCAACTCATAGTTGACTACCTTCCCTGTGTTGCCATTGTATTTATTACCTCTCGCAACCGGGAGGGTGCCGAAAGGATCCCTCGCGTACTGGCGAGCTTCCGCACCGCCCTCCGTCCTGTGGCCCCGAGCGAGTAGGCAACCCGCACACACGCACGCCATGCGGTACAGCATAACTACAAAACACCTCGGTGTGTCTTTCGCCACTTTGGTATGACGCCACTGCACTTCCGTATCCCTGGCACTTCAACCCGTTTGTCACCGTCACACACCCCCGTGCTGGTGGTGGCCGACGAGCTGGTCAGCAGCGCCTATCACTGCCACTGACGGGGCGGAGCGGGCGCGTGACAGCCCTGTGGCCCGCCCCGCCACGCCCCGCCACGCGCCGCCACGCCCCGCCACGCCACGCAAGAGGGCCGTATGGAATGGGTGGCAGCTCGTCATGCCGAGTCACGTGACGTCCAGCGACGCGCGGGGGAGGGGGGGGGCGAGGGCTGCTGCTGACAAGGCACCGGCGCGGTCTATAACGTTGTCCGGACGTGGAAAAGTGAAGGGTTTAGGGGAGGAGGGGGTGAAAAGTGCCTATGCACGCAGGAAAGGGGTGGGGGTGCCGCGAGGCGCACGGCAGAAACTTCTTCTTTGTGGTGTGTGTGTGCGTGTGAGGGGGAGGGGGCGGAGGGGGCGTGCACACACATACTCCCTTGAATGCGAACCCGGCCCGGGGATGACATCATCGGAGTGGTAAAGCAGAAGTAGAATCCTGGCTGCGAAAGTGCGAATGCACACAGACACATACACGCCGCGGGTGCCGGCGCTGTTGACAGGTTTGCGAGGTTGGGGCGGGGAGGGGCGTATCGAGGATCAAAGAGGCGTCTGTGCAGTGTCGTGCGCCCTGCCCCGCCCCGCCCCGCCCCGCCGCGCCCCGCTTTCTGATCGAAGGGACGCGCGACGTTTCCAAACACGAGCGGCCGCATTAGAGTATATCTCCCGCCCGGGGAGTGGCGAGCGGAGCGGCACAGTGGAGTGACGGATGCGAAACGAAAATACCGTCGCAAACTCTCTTTTCTGAGGGTGCCCAGCCCAGCCCAGCCCTGGCGTGTCACTTAGAAGGGCTGCCGCTGCGCCGAGCCGGGAGGAAATTGAAAGGGAGGCACGGGGTGGTGTGGG